CTGGTGACCATGTCGGTGCGGGAGCTGAACCGGCAGCTGCGGGGCGTCAGCAAGGAGGAGGTGATCCGCCTCAAGCAGAAGAGGAGGACCCTCAAAAACAGGGGCTATGCCCAGTCCTGCCGCTTCAAGAGGGTCCAGCAGCGGCACGTCCTCGAGTCGGAGAAGAACCAGCTGCTGCAGCAAGTGGAGCACCTAAAGCAGGAGATCTCCAGGCTGGTCCGGGAGAGGGACGCCTACAAGGAAAAGTACGAGAAGCTGGTCAGCAATGGCTTCAGAGAAAACGGATCCAGCAGCGACAACCCTTCCTCTCCAGAGTTTTTCATGTGAGTGCCCACAGCCTTGCCACCTTAACTAAAAGTTCTCCGTGTGAGTTGTTGTTGGGGGCTTTGCTAGAGCGACAACCAAGCTTGCCACCTTGTATTACTTTTTTTTTAAAAAAAAAAAAACTCAAAACAATTTTAAAACAAAGTTGTTTTTTGGGTTTGTGTGTTTTTTTTTTTTAAGGTGGGCTGGCTCCTTGTTGGCCAACCTCAAGTTCTACATGAGTTTCTTTTCTGTTTATTATTATTATTTTTTTTTATTATTTTTGTGGGGGCTTGCTTTTTTTTTTAAATTTAAAAGATCCAACTCGCCACCAACTCAGTTCTTCATATGAAGCTTGCTCTTCTTTGAAACCTGCCATCCACATTATATATATATATATTTTTAAGTTCATGAGTTTTTTTTTCTTTTGAGCTTGCTGTGTGCAAAAAAGTCAGATTTTTTTTTTTGCCATCCTGAGTTCTTCATATGAGATTTGAGCTTTGCAAAAAGAAAAAGAAATAAAAAAACAAAAAAAAAACAAAACAAAAACAAAAAATACAAAAACAATGTGAAATTTTTAGACTCCAGCTTGCTGAGTTCCATCAGTTTTTAGCGTTGTTGTGCAAACCTAGAGATATACCTAGATCAACCTGCCAAAATCAAGCCTGCATCAACCTTCGGTGTGTTCATGTGAGTTTTGGCCTTAATCTGCCAAACGTGAGACTTTAGTCTGCCATTAGAATCCCATACTCATCTCATGCATTACGCTTGCTATTTTGTCTTAGCAACAATGAACTGTAACTGTTTCAAAAGACTATGAAAAGAGACATTATATTAATAAAAAACCCTGCATGCTGGTCATGTATGGTATAATTATTTTTTTTTCTTTTGCTTGGAAATGGACTTTTGGAGACTATTATGGCATGGCATTCATCCTTTTGTTTTATTGCCTCATCACTTTTTTGAGTTGAAAGCAAAAAAGTGCAACCTTTGATCTTCCTCCTCCTCTTCCTCCCCATTAAAGTTTGCATCTGCTCTAAAACTGCTTTGAGTTACTCAAAACTTCAGACTTCCTTTTAAATGCACTGAAGCATTCCCTCTTAGAAAACATGCCAGAATGGATTTTGATAACCTAATGTGGCAAAAAAATACAAAAAGAACTTTGGAAAGATGTTCAAAAACAAAATTCACATCCCACTTGGGAGGGACATTGAAACCATGCTGTTGCCTAAAACAGTCTAAAAATTAATTTTAAGTGATCTGCCCCATTTTTTTTCCTTTTGCATTTGGTCATTGTCAAATGTGGAATGCTCTGGGTTTCTAGTATATAATTTAATTCTAGTTTCTGTCATCTGTTAGCCCAGTTAAAATGTATGCTACAGATAAAGGAATGTTATAGATAAATTCGAAAGAGTTAGGTCTGTTTAGATGTAGATTTTTTTTAAAGATTGATGCACTAAATTGTTTACTGTCGTGATGTAAAGGGGGGTAGAATTTGCAACGGGACTGTTTTAAAAAGTAGTTTATGCAGCATGTGCTTGCAACTTAAGTATAAGTTGGGTATATGTAGTCCTTGCTATACCACTGACTGTATTTGAAAACCAAAGTATTAGAAGGGGGAGGCACCCCTGTTTATATCTATAGGGGTATTTTACATTCAAAATGTATTTTTTTTTTTCAAATTTGAAGTATTTGGGACTGAATTGCACTAAGATATAACCTGCAAGCATATAATACAAAAAAAAAATTACAAACCTGTTTAGAACGCTAATACAATTTATGCAGTTATAAAGATGGCATTACTGCACAGTTTTAAAATGATGCAGATTTTTTTACAGTTGTATTGTGGTGCAGAACTGGATTTTCTGTAACTTCAAAAATTCCACAGTTTTAAAGGCAATAATCAGTAAATTTTATTTTCAGGGACTGATATCCTGTCTTTTAAAAAAAAATGGAAAGTAAATCTTACCACAATAAATATAAAAAAATCTTGTCAGTTACTTTTTCTTTTACATATTTTGCTGTGCAAAATTGTTTTATATCTTGAGTTACTAACTAACCACGTGTGATGTTCCTATGTGCTTTTCTTTCATTTTCAACTCTATGGTTATATCAAAAGAGAGAATAATCTACAATAATAAACTGCATTTTTTTTGATTCTGTACTCAGTTTCTTAGTGTGTAGTTTAAAGTTCAGTAACTATGAAAGCAGTACTTCAGCGTACTGTCTGGCAAAGGGGCAGTGCTGATACAAGAGCTGGACTCAGTAATACACAGGAGGGGAGAAGGAGAAGGCTAGTTTTATGCAAAATGGAAAATTGTCACCCACGAGAAATGAATGATCTGTCAGGTAGACGAAAAACGTGAGCTTTCAGGTGCTTGTTCTGACTTCTCAGTATGGCAGTGACCTTAGTTTCTGTGACTCAGATCATCCCGTCAGGTTTTAGGAGATCTCAAAGGGGAGATCTGCTTAAAAACCTGATGACATGATGCGGCCTTATATTTTGATTGTTTTATGATGGAGCGAAGTGAAAGAGAAGACTTCACATCCTCTCGTCATCTGCTCCAGCACGGTGTGCCTGCCTCTCGTAGGAGATGACACCGCGTCAGGCTCGGCTTGTCACAGAGCCGTTTCACGTTAGCCCGAAAGGTTTCTTGCCATTTGGGTGCAGAGTGCCTCCTTTCCTCCCCCCTTTTTTTTTCTTTGCTTCCCCCCCCCCACCCGCCACCCCGTCCGTAGTCTTTCTTTCGCCCCGTGGTTTTCTTTTTTTTTGTTTTGTTTTGTTTTGTTGCAGGCCTTAGAAAGCCTAGAGTGAGCGGAGGAGCAGAGGAGGGGAAAACAAAAAATGCAGAGCACTTCCTCCAACTTGTCCAAGTTGTTTGTCCTAAGCAGAGCACCCGAAAGGTTAACGTGCTGGACGCGTGCAGGTCTCGGAGCCGCTCTGCGCCGCGGTGCTCCATGCCAAAGGGCACGTCGGCTTCGAAAGGCTCCCCAAGCCCTCGGCCCCCGGAGCCCGCCAGCGTCCTCTCCCGCCCGGTGAGCGGGATTATCCTCCTCCGGGCGCTTTGGCAGTGCCGAGGCCTCCTCCAAGCGTGTCGCGGCCGCGAC